TGTATATATGTATATATGTTATATATGTTATATGTATATATTATATATGTATATTGTATTATCTGTATAATATGTATATCTGTATATATGTTATATATGTCATATATGTATATATGTATATATGTATATATTGTATATATGTATATATGTATATATGTATATATGTATATATGTATATATGTATATATGCTATATATTGTATATATGTATAATGTATATATGTATATATGTATATATGTTATATGTTATTATGTATATATGTATATATGTATATATGGTATATTGTATATATGTATATATGTATATATATATATATGTCTATATGTATATATGTATATATGTATTATGTATATATGTATATATGTATATATGTTATATATGTGTATATGTATACACATACATACATACATACATAATATAATAAACGCTAAAGGCAGATTTAGAAGCTTTTAGTGAAACGTAAAAAGGTAACGGCATGTCAAATGGAGTTGTTTTTCAGAGATCATTATAGTCTTATTAACGTCATGAGGCCGATACACCAAATAGCAGTCGCGGTTCAAGTTATTTTGATATCGGCCGTTTGGCGTTCAATACTTTTCGTAATGTCATCTCTATAAGCAAAAAAATATAATTAAGAAAACACCCCTGCTTTGTAACACGTTTAGGAGTGCAATTTCCATTTTAAATCGCACGATTGTTTATTATTTAATATATTAAGAAATAAAAATAAAACTGGTTTCACAAGAGTGAATAGCAAATGTTTAATGTAGGTTGACATCTCCTTCGAGACTTGCTTGTAGCGTGACGGAAGCGGAGTTATAAGCAGTGACGCTTTTGGTAAGAGAATTCAAGTCGGTAACGCGCAGTTCGAGAAAGCGAAATTACTTTTAATATTTACATGTATCAGTCAAAATCAATAATATTTCATTGTTTTTATGACTTTAGGTTTCCAGGTATTTAACCGAACCAAAGACACCTTCTCTAAAGGGCGGATGCTGCATTTTTGTTTTTAAACATCTGTGCCCTTTGAAATTAGAAACTATTTAAGCCTGTTTAAGGATATTGCTGCTTAATTATCACACATTAAGAATACGAATAACAGAATAAATAATAGACAGAGGATATCATTAATCTAATTGTATATAGAACTGTTTTACAGTTAATATTTTTTAATTGTTGTAACTTGTGTACTCAATTTTAATTGTTTTGTCATTTGTGTGTCATTTGGCAATAAGTTTTGTGAAGTAACTATATGCATTATAATATTTTTTTTTATTTTATTCATTTATTATATTATTGTTATTTATTATTATCTGATAATTATTATTATTATTATTATTATTATTATTATTATTCATTAATTATTATTTCAACCTCATTCACAGCTTTTCTGGAATTAGCAGTAATCACACGAATACATATCAAGCATGATCACTTATTACTTACAAGTTACTAAATATGGCGCTTCAGTTTCACACAGCACTTACGACAACACAGTAGTAGCACACAATATTCTACACAATTTATAATTTGAAACCTTTGAATTGTGATATAAAACTTTGTTGAAAATTTTTAATAAGTCTGAACCATATTTCTTCTAACCAAAACAATGTATTAATTATTACCGCTTTTTCTGCATTTTATCAAAATATTGTTTGTTTATATCTAGTTCTTCCATGACTTTACAGTGAACTTTGGTACAATACAGTTATATAGGTGTTGTGTAGGATATCTTTGGCCATTTTTTAAAATAATTAAAGATGTTGTCATTGCCAACAATGTTTTTTTATTCAAAAGCAGCTTTCGATGGCTTTAGCGAATCCATCATCAGTAGTCTGCTAAGATGGAAGCCACAAAACGACTACTCTGGAACGGACATCTAGAACGACTTAGTCCGTTTTGTGGCTTTTCCATCTAGCAGACAACTGATGCATGTGTGCTAAGCCATGAAAGCTGCTTTTGAATTAAAAAACATTGTTGCGCAATGACACATCTTTAATTACAATACCAGTTGGCCTGAGATTACAATAGGGTTTCTTCGCATTTTCCAAGGACATTCCTCCTCCAACGACTTGGACCAATTCTCTGTATTTTCCCACGCTTCGTCTGGTAGGTGTCATGATGTTTATTGTTGTCCACGCACCGCGAAGTCCACAAAAGGAACTTTCTTGGATACCGTGTCCAGAATAGTGATATCAGGTCTGTTTTATGATCGGGACCGGTTTTTGTCTGTCAGGATCTGCTTCTGTCCAATACAATTTGTTATATAAGGTGATATTTTCTAGACCGTTTGGGGATGATCTTATAATATGGTGTTAATCTCGTGCAGAAGACCGTATTTCTCAGCAAGTTTGGCTGGATACATACGTCATGTGTCAATGTCTGAGTTTATATTAGAGGGAGCCATACATCTACAGCCAGTTTAGTATATGGCTGGATTGTTTCAGATCTTTGGAAAACACATTCTGCAATTATCATCTACTACTGAGGGTCTTTAACTATGTGCTTGAGATAGTTTTTGGTTGGTATCTCCTGGTCTTGTATTGCAATAATGAGGCCTCAGTCCTCTGGAAACAGATACCCCAGTGAGCCACTTGTACGACAATATCTACGTCTCATTTTCATTGGCTATTGCTGGGGTATGCCACGCGTGGAGTGCCTTCTGCTTCCATTTAACATTTTGTTTCAAGAGTGGGACTGTGCTGTGTTCATGTCGTTTCTGAAGGCTGAGAGGTGTAAGATTATCATCAGCTTGTTGTACAAGCTTCAATGTCTATTATTATTATTACTATTATTATTATTACTATTATTATTATTATTATTATTATTATTATTATTATGTGTATTTCTTGCATTGAGCTGATGATACTGACACCTGGTGAATGTGATTCTTAATTCATGTTCTTTTCCTCTTTTCTTTCTCCTTCTTGCTATTTTCGAAATTACAGAGTTCGCCGGAAATGACATTAACATCACTTTTTTACCACCTTTTGATAGATGTGAGAAGAAAATTTGAAGAAAATATTTAAAACCGTTTTGCAAAAAATATTCCCGTTTCGGGCAAAATGACACGAAAATTACTCATACTTTCGAAACATTACAAATGACATTATTTCAAGGTCTGTCTTTGAACAACAATTTTATTAAGGAAGTTAGTGGTACTATCTTTAATAGCTGTAAATTCTCGCATTATCTGTAACAGCGCAGCAATGTTGTTGTTGTTGTTGTTGTTGTAGTTGTTGTTGTAGTTGTTGTTGTAGTTGTTGTTGTAGTTGTTGTTGTTGTTGTTGTTGTTGTGGAAATGTTGAAGGTTAAAGTAAAATAGAATCCCTAAAAATCTAAACATTAACCGGTTTTAGCGCTAACGTTGCCCACACACAGACGCTGTGTTGTCAACCGATTTCTCGGTATCAATAACGCACAAAAAATGAATTTTAACTACGTAACGTGTTAGATGAAGTAATTTACCATATTAAAGGAATTAAAATTTATCCAATTTTTTTGTTACGAGGGCTCGGCAAGAGTTTTTTCTATCGGAAAAAAAACGCCTATTCCAGGCTCACGATTACAATACTTTCTCCTCGTACGAAGTAAGGTGAGAAAATGTTCTTGAAGTTGAATTTCAAGTATCCCCCAAAAGCTAAATATCCGTTTCAACCTGGCAGGTCTGCGAGTTCTTTCAGATGGATCGGGGAATATCAAGTTTGTGGGAAAACATCTGTATGGTTTAGATGCCAACATTGGACATTGTCAGGCAGACAGACGGACGGTTTGTCGTCAATCGATTCTTCGGAATGAAGGATACACCAGTCGCGAATTTTCAAAGGAGTCAAGGGAGACCTTGTCTCTCCACAAACTTGATTAACAATGCTACAAGATATAATTTTTTATAACTTATAGTTTGTTAGAATTAAATTTGTCTAAAATTGACATAAATGTGTACGCCTAGCCAGAAAACATTTAAAACAAGTTTCTCTTGCTGGAAACAATGTTACAATTTAAGTTGGAGCCAAGCAGTACTATGCGTTGCAAATAGATAGAACCACCAAGTACTAGAATTGCTTGTGTATGCAGCATACCGGTGGCAGAAAGTATAGTTCGTGTGCGCGGCTCAAGCTGACGCGCGCCTCCGTGTTGCCATGATAGCGTCCATCCACTAATAAGAAAAGAGGAGTTTCGTTTCTGGCCGCCTCCTGTGTGAAGGCGTGTTGCGGTCATAGACAGTGGGTGCTCTGTGGGTGCGATGGTTCCACTGTGTGGCAGACCAAGTATTTCAGTGGACACAATAAAATCTTTATTGAAAGTGCCGTTTTCGGGAAGAAGTGATCCGAAAAGAAGAATATTAAATCTATTTTTTTAAATTTGGAATGTCGCCAATAACAGTTTACCAGTAAACAGAATTCTTTATTGACATCGATTGTCTTGCGATTTCATTGACATCAACTTCACCTTATTGTCATGGTCATTAATTTCATTTTCACATTATGATTCCCTGCCTGAATTTCTCTGGGCCTCCCCTAATTTGGAAACCACCAACCGCCACTGAGATACACAACACAAAGATTCTGACTACACAAAGCGTTACAGGAAGTAACTTACGAACATGACAATTATTAACAATTTCGTTACCAAGGTCCGGCAGGAAACATTTTTTTTCCTAAAACTCGGCGATTTCCAGCGCACCATTACAACACTTTATGCATCGCTACCTGTGACTGTTTCATCTAAAATTTGTTCTAATGCTTATATTTTATTTCCTCATTGAGAAGTGTTTAAGGAAAATGCCTGAATTATTTAATTCTTAATTACTTTTTATTTTTCAGATCCGTGCCCACAACTAAATCTGATAAACGGAAAAGTAAGGCTTCGTTCCAAAGGGCGTGTGGCGAAATTTAAATGTGATATTTCATATCAGTTAGTGGGAAATAAAACTGCCACTTGTATTCGGGGTACCTGGGATACCAACATACCTTTGTGTATACGTAAGTATGTGTGGTTAATTACATTATTAGTAATTAATTTAGTTATATGTAAAATATTTGCATAACACTTTAGAATTACGACATCTTTTTCAAATCAATCTGAAGCCAAACTGTTACCTTTATGGGCCTCGGACAGTCTTACATTTCTGTAGTTTTAGTTTAGTTTAAATAGAGACGCGGTAGTTTCAGAATAAATGTCTCATATTTCTAGGGAGTGAAATGAATCGAAGGTGACAACTTTTTGACCAAGGGACATATAATCGAAATCTCTTTGACTGCCGCAGAGCCTGACCTACCGAACAAGAACGCATGAGGAGTTGCCTCATTATCAGGAGCACATGTCACCCGTGTAACGATATATGAGATATCTCCCCACATGTTCATTGAAAAAATTTTGATCTTTGATGCCCCTCAATTTCCTAGACATTTCTAATTTTTTTCTCAGACATCCGTATTTTACTACTTGCCTCGCCGTGTCAGATCAATCTTGCCCAAATGTCCACGCTTCCTCTACCTCTGAATAGCATTTTTCTTCTGTTTTTGCACGATTTTAAATCCATGTATATTTTGTTCAAAGGGGACGGTTCCAGAAAATATTTCGAGAAGGGGGGAATTTTAGTACAGATCCTTTCTCTCAAATATTTCTGTTACAATAAAATCAAAATATTATTAGATTGAAATAAGAAATTGTGTTCATAACGGAAATACTCTTTATGAAAGTGATGTAATCAATGTACGATGTTTAGATTGTGATGCTATCAATGTAGAATGGTTGTTTAGAACAGAATGAGTGAAGTTTCAAACACAAAATTTGAGTTTCGAGGTGGGGACAAGAACATGATTCACCGCAGATAACACTGCAGAACTTTTTTTTTCGTACCTCCAGGATGAAAGTAGGTGATTTCAAATGAATCGATCACGCTGATTACGAAAATCATCATAAAAAGTTTCTATCATGTATCAGGGTTTAAAAGATATAAACATATTTAGTATTTGTAATAAACAAAATTCTACAGTAATTTCTGCATTATATTACTACAAAGTGAATATGTGAGTGAATCGAAAAGTCTGAACTTCTAACAGTTTGCAAAACATGGATGTGAAATGTAAACACAAATTAATAGGAACATTATTCAAACGAGAACAAACATCGCATTTATTTTCTGAAGACATTCCATTGGCTGGGCCGCAGAACAGAAAATTGCTATTATTTCTTTACACATAACAGAGAATATTCAACAATTTCCAAGTAACTGAAATGGCAAATCAAAAGTCTATGCTATAAATACTAAAAACTCACTGAACTATTCACTGCAGAATCAGCAAATTGACCTCTCCCCGTTGCAAGCAAGTCAGCTCAGTCGAGACCAGTCGCTATCTGGAAGAGAATTCTAGCGGCCGGCTGCTCTGATCGGTAGTTTTCCGTGGTTTCTTCTATCAACACCAGGCGAATACTGGAGCAATGCCCTAACGAACGGGCCACGGACCGCGCGCGATCTTTCCTACCTCTTTTTTGTGCTATCCTTACCCTTACACAAACACATACACATATGCCACGAGACCGGCCAGAAACCTAGAGTTTGTCCTGGCTGGGGCGGTGCCCCGCTGGTGGGAGATACTTGGTTGGGGAAAACCCCATTAGCAGACGGAAGGTCGGCGCCGGATCTCGCCATCCAACGGGGAAGACCTTCGCCACCTCGCAAGGAAGCACTACACTTACGTTACTAATGACCATAGTAGTTGTCGCGCCGGAATCACTATCAATCAATCATTTTAATCGTGATACGGGAAATTTATATTAGGGCCCCATAATCGATTTAACTCATGGAGAGCAACGCCACCAAACTGAGTGAGAAATTAAATGCCTATAGTCTGCTCCAGCACAAATGTGTTAATAATGAGCATGCTTCATATGAGGAAAGAACAATTTAAGAATGGAATGTGCATATTCGAGCAATACTATTGAAATATCTTCTAAGGAGAAATTACTATTATATTGCTTAAAAAAGTCTTTTGCGCCTTGTCACTTACTCTTTGATTCCTGTTTACTCTCTCTGACTAGAAACCAGCAATAACCTCCCATCATTGCAGGATCTTTACGCCCTTGGTGTCTCTTCTCCGTTGTAGCAAAATGTTGATAAAACTATTTACCATGTCATCACTAATATCATCCAATTCTGTTGAAAAATTAAAGTGGGGGTGAAGAAAATGATTTTTTAGAGATATTCTACACCTCATATTTTTGTAGCTTTCTAACCATTCTACAACGAATGTATTATATTTTTTTTCTTCGTCGCGAAAAATGCATTAACAACTCTCTTAAAGGTTGCAAAGCTGCTAACTCAATGTCTCGCAATGTTTCTTCCAATACTTCATCCAACATGGTTTTTATGATGTGCGTGACGATGAACATTCTTTTCATCGATTTTGCATTACTCATCCGTGGGATTATTTCACTGCTTTGAAACTACATTTTGATGAATCTACAAACAATTGCCATTTATCTGGATTATAGAGAACACACAATTCACTTAACTCCCTAATGTCTGCACAAAATCAAAAAAGTACCTTCAATAGAAGAGTTATGGGCAAAGGTCTTGAGTCTGTTCCTAATCTCTGATTTTTTTGTCCCGGCAGCAAGTAGTTTCCATTACTGTAATCTAGAGCCTAGCAGTTCAGATTTTTTTTTTAAATTTAGGACCAATACCAAATCATTCAGGTCTTCCTACTGTACTAAGTGCAGTCAGTGTCGGTCTTTCCTGGTAACTAGTCTGGATCTTTTAAAGTGAAGTCTTCTGTTTCTGGGTGAAACAGCTTCAATTTCATCACCTTTTTCTTTACGATTTATTGATCATGTTTCCGGGGGTACAGGCAGTGGTATTTCGACATTGTATAACACAGGTTGCAAGGCAAAAGAATTATGTGGATAATTGATCTGGACAGGCCAAATATCCTGGTTTGTCGGTATTCTCCACAACATTGTTTCAGCAAATGACAATGATTTAGGTTTTCCATATATCCACAACCTGCGGTTGATTGTATAGGTGACAACACTGAGCAGCCCATTGGTTTGTCCTCATCGCAAACACGTCATCCAAAGTATAAAGAATAGGCAACTGTAGTAATTTCGTGTATTCTTTTCCTTTCAAGTTCCGGTGTACATCTTCCCCAAACGTAAGAAAATTTACCTGGTTCATTCGCACACTTTCGATGTGAAATGATTTGCATTTTATCGAACCGATTCAGTTCAACAGATCATGTGGCGGATTTCACTTTATAAAACCCACAGAACTGTATTTTCTAAAACAAATGTATTTGAGGCACACGCAAACCAGACACAAACTTCACGCGCACTGAGGGTACAGTTCCACATGACACAGATTGACTTGTATACTTGCGATAGGGTAAGGGGCTAAAATAATTCCTTTCGGTGACTGATGCGCAGTAGAAAATATGAGGGTGCACGTGACTTGTTTTCAAAACATCCACTAAGTACCTACTAAGACCACTAAGACCTACTCGTAATTGAGCGGGACTACCAAACGCAAGAATAAAGGAGACAATTTACGAATACAGAATGTAAAAAAAAAACAACAGCAGGAAAGCATAATTTTGTTATCTCATAAATGTGGCATAGGTGATCATGTATTTTATGAGCATGTATTTTATTTTTAAATAGATTTCATGCGTATTGTTTCTACATATTTTACAGGTGCAATTTAAATGTATTTGCATTCATTAACTGTAACTAAAATTAAATAACTGTGACGTGATATGATGTTCTTATTGTGATATTCGTAATCTACGTATAACATTGAGTACTTTGCACACTCTACCATCCTGGAGGTAAAAATCGTGTTCTAGGGTAATAAGCAGTCAAGCTACACTTGAACTTCATTCCTTTCAAGAACGAGTGAGTTGCTCTGGTAAGTAATACTATGTTGGAAGATTCATCATCATCCTATCATCTCTAATTTCACACTTCAAAGCGTAACAACCTTGTCGTACTGAGGATACAGCTTAAAACTGATCCTGGAAAAATTACACATGATAATCGCGTAGCATGGACAGTAATGGCCTATCTGCTAATAATAATAATGCTAATGATAAAAATAATGTTAATAATAATAATAAAATAATAATAATCATAATAATAATCATAATAATAATGATAATAATAATAATAATGATAATAATAATGATAATAATATAATAATAATATAATAATAAAATAAATAATAATAATAATAATAATAATAATAAGAAGAAGAAGAAGAAGAAGAAGAAGAAGAAAAAGAACGCTTACTCACAACCAAGAATGCCTACCACAACCACCACCACCATCACCATCACCTATGCTTCCCAGTGTTATGAATGTTTTGAAAGTTTTGACAAGTTCTTACATAAATTCTGCAGACAAAATCCCAGAAATCCGATAACTATCGTTGCGATCCATATTTTTACGCCCCACATCCAAGTAATCTCGATTTGTAAACTTGTATTTAAGACGTTTATCTTCCTCCTTGGTTACAACGTTCTGATTGCTTATCACAGCGACATTTACAAGTGGACATGCTTTTTTGCCAAATCCCGAGTAACAATACCGGGTATGTTTGCTGCAACGGCTCGATCAGTATGGATTTGTTAGATATACAGTATTGTACACATACTAATAAAAGTCAGTTATTTTTTAAGGAGTTCGTACCATTTGGAGCACGTGTTTGCAACTTTGAGAGTGTTGCAGATATCTCAATGGAGGAAACTAAGATACCCTATCATGAATTTTCATGTATTTGGACTTTGTTAGGATTGCACAAGTGGAGAGAATACTGATCAGTTATTTCTATCTATTCCTCACAAATACGGCACTTACCAT